GAGCTCACCCTGTTTAACGCGAAGGCTGGACTTGAACCGCTGAAGCGTCGACCATTTCTGGCCGGCAACTTTCAGCGTCATTAAACCACTGCGCCACCGTGTCCCCCATTGACCATTAGGGGACAGCAATGAGTTAGAATTTTTGTCTCTCCTGGCTGCCCCTTAGTGGTTGTCTAGATGTGTGCAGTTGAGATGGACGTGGTTGACAAGATGCAGTCTGAGACATCACTTTATAGATGTTTGTTTCAAATCACAGCATACATACAGCTATGTTCTTCAGAAGTGGGGGGGAGGGGGTCCCTTCAAGTCAGTTTTGACTCCTGACAGCTGCCTGACCTAGTCCCTGCAGTTTTCTTGGCAAGATTTTCAGAAGTGGTTTGCCATGGCCTTCTTCCTAGGGCTGAGAGAGAGTAACTGGCCCAAAGTCACCCAGCTGGCTTCATGTCTAAGGTGGGACTAGAACTCACTGTCTCCTGGTTTCTAGCCTGGTGCATTAACCACTAGACCAAACTGGCTCTTCAAAAGGTAGGAGAGGGAAAATATATGCCTATATGTTGAAGCTATGTCTGTGCCAAGTTACATTTTATGATGGATTTAACCTTTTAAAACAGCATTCCATAAAGAGAGGAAGGGAGAAGCCAGGACTTCCCCAAGAACATTAGATACCAGGCTACAGAAGCACAACAGCCAAGTCGTTTCACATGTGTTAGGCCGAGGAAGGGCTAGTCAATTTTAGGGCTTCCATTCTCTAGGTCAACCAGTCAGCTGACCTCTTAAAAAAAAGAAGAAGAAATAAAAAAGGAAGTGTCTGCAGTACGTAGTTTCCTGTTTGACTTGCAGCCAAAACAGCATTGCAGAATTGATGCCAAGCACACACACTGAACAGAAAGGGGCAGTCCCACAGCGGACATGCCAAGCTAATTATAGCCAAGCAGATCACTGCCCTCAATTGGGTCACTTAAGCCTCCTCCTCCGTGTGCCATGGATTGTCCAGATGAGAGTTCTTTCAGTTTCCCAGGGAAAACATTAGTTTCATGACAAAACACCTTGGCCCAGCTTCAATATGCCTTAGCTGTGGGCTGTCTGAGGCAGAGGTTCTGTGACTTGATCATGTCCTCAGCCATCAGTAAGTGGGACATCTTTGGGTCACAGTAAACAGTCTGTGTTGATGAGTCCTTAATCCAATTTAAAGTTACAAAACTGCTGTCTTACTTCAAAGGATTAGTCATCCTTCACTAAATTTCCAAATGAAGGAATAAGGACAGGGTTATTCAATGTGATTCAGATTATCCACTCTTATTTAGAGGAAGGAAGTTGGAGTAGTAAAGTCAGCTTGCAAATTACATGGTATTGTTCTTCAGGCACAAAACCAAGGTGATCGGATGCATCAATATTTCCAAGAAATGCCTGCTCAAAAAGTTTGGTGCTATATTCTTCACTTGTACAGGTAGTCCTCAATTTATGACCACAGTTGGGACCAGAACTTCCATCACTAAGCAGTGCAGTCATTAACTGAGTCATGCCAGATTTTACAACCTTTTTTGCTGTGGTTGTTAAGTGAATCACACAGTCATTAAGAAAATGCAGCTTCCCCTTTGACTTTGCTTGTCAGAAGCCCCCTGGGAAGATCACAAATGGTGATCATGTGACCCCATGACATGCTGGTTGTCAAGCGCCCAAATTTTGATCATGTGATTGTGGAGATGCTTTGAAGGTTGTAAGTGCAAGGACCAGATGTAAGCCACTTTTTTCAGCACCATCGTAACTTCAAATGGTCGTTAAATGATTATAAGTCAAGGACTACCTGTAACAGCAGAAGATAGATTTCATGGGAAGTTACCAGATAGGAAATCTCAGCAATATATTATGCACTTTTCTATGTGTAGTTCAGCATCCAAGACCAATAGGTAATAAAAAGGGAATGCTTAACTCCATCAAGGAACCCCAATTATTACTTTCCTTGTCTTAGTTTATAAATAGTAAATGGGCCAACCTTTAAAAAAATCAGAAAATAGTTCTTCCTCCTCACCCCAAATTCATGTTTGAAATTAGGAAAGCTGTAGTGCTCATATTGTATCAGTTGGAATGCAGCAGGACTTGGGTGTCTTACTTTGTCCTCTCCAATGGATCTTCTTCCACATTGGACCATGATCTATGATGCTTTGCCCAGCTTTTTTCCTGGTGTTGGCAAGAGCAGAAACAGCAATAACTGAGCACCATCTCTATGAAGATATCTATTCTTTTATGGTAACTAGGACATTGAAAGCACAATACTACAGTCATGTCTGAAATTAAGATTTTCAGGATGTCTTCATAGTCAAATATCTTCTGGAGGCAACATATCCAGAGCTAATTATGCTTGTGAGACTACTCCTTGTCAGTCCTTCAAGGTAGGCCAGCTCAAGAAACAGACAAGACACCCCAAAGGTTACAGGAATTCTACTTTATTGTGGTATCTACAGAACCTTTAAAAGCCTGCCAGAATTTCTTTCTTATACCAAATAAAATCAGGGCAAATTATTTTGAGTTTCTTTCTCATGCCTTCCACTTTCCCAGGACTGATTTGTTAATTTCCTCTGTTAATTAACAGCTCATCCATTCTTTCATCAAGGTATTTGCACATTCCTTTACACTCCTGCATGATCTGAAGATTGTACATCTCAAAGGTTTCTTTCTAAATAGCACATACTCAAGCATTTACTATACTTTCTGAACTGGATGAGAAAGGTGATATGCAAGCCATAATACAGCCAACATCAGGATCTGAAGTTCTTTGTCCAATAAACAGGAACTCTAATGACAGTCTTAGTTGTTATAAGCAACAAGTTGCCTATGGCTAGTGTTCAAATGAAACCAATGAGTGAGCATGGTCCACAACATTTGAGTTTGAAGCCAATTAAATTAAGTCATTCATTAAATTTGTATCTGATTTATTCCACCATATGTTGATGACTCTGGGATACTTCTGGAACTCTGCATGAGTAATCTGAATGCTGTTTCATTGCAGCATTAAATATCTTGTTTGCTTTGTGTTCTCAAGTCTCCAACTGTATGCTAGGCAGTCCAATTATTTTCTGATTATCTAATTTGAAATGAAGTCAGTGAAGAAATCAATTAATTGACTGGAGCAATTTATGCCTCTGATAACTGCAATTTACCTTTTCTTATAATTTATAGGAACTTACACATTACTGATATAAAAGTTTTATAGGAATTATACAACCTACTGATTAGGTTTTATCTGGACAAATTTAAATTTAATAGTTTAGGTACCACATAGCTACTGAACTAGCTGAATGCTGTATAGCAATTGTGTACAATGAACAAATGAATATAAAAATATACAATATTAAGAATTAAAGTTCTGATCATTTTTCATGAAACTCAATTTTGATATGAAGTTGCAGGGAACAAACACACCCATACAAAGACAAAAACAGAAGCAATATTATTTCAGGCATTATTCAAAGCTTTTTTTTTTTTTATCTGACACTGAAATGAGAGCCAGTTTGGTGTAGTGGTGAAGGCACCAGGCTAGAAACTGGGAGACTGTGAGTTCTAGTCCCGCCTGGGTGACCTTGGGCCAGACACACCCATACAAAGACAAAAACAGAAGCAATATTATTTCAGGCATTATTCAAAGCTTTTTTTTTTTTTATCTGACACTGAAATGAGAGCCAGTTTGGTGTAGTGGTGAAGGCACCAGGCTAGAAACTGGGAGACTGTGAGTTCTAGTCCCGCCTGGGTGACCTTGGGCCAGTCACTCTCTCTCAGCCCTAGGAAAAAGAAGGCAATGGCAAACCACTTCTGAAAACTTGTCCAGGCAGTCACCAGGAGTCAAGATTGACTCAAAAGCATCAATATACATACCCACACACACACAGAGGAAAGGATTCCTTCACTGCATATTAACAACTAAGAATCATGCTATCATTGGCAGGCCAAAACAAGCTGCCACAAACTGAAGTATTTATAAAAATACGTCTTCTATCCCACTGTGGTTCAGGACTACCAAGAACATCTCTTTCAGACATATTATGCTCCTCGTGCACAACATCTTTATGTTTTCTGCATATTGTTTCTGGTATATAAAAAAAATAATGGTATAGTAATTTTATAAGCAACCAGAGACTGCTGCTGGAGCTTTCTCTATGATATGCTTGCAGATGTACAATATGCTTGGGATGATACTTTATTTTTACTGTAGAACACTGATGATTAATAGGTTGAGGACAGGAAGGAGTGTAAAACCTATATAACTCTCACAAAAAGAGTAGTGGCAGTGTACCATCGTTAACAGATTGGAACAGGATAATAACTAAACTAAATGAGATTAGCAGATACAGTCTCTTCCAATGGATCCACTGTCATTTTCCTATCTGACATCAATATTTAAAGAAGTACAATAGTCATTAAGATTGGAAGCTATATTTATTCCTAAAGTTTGGATAGTTTCTAAGGCAAGGCTCGGGAAGGGGATGAGAGCTTTTATTCAATCACATGCAAAAGAGGATTTACCAGAGAAATGAGACATCCCCCAGTCCACTGTAAACTCTTTAAAGTCAGAGTGACACTTGCCTGCTGTCATCTTGGGGCCAAGGACTCATAAGGACTAAGAGGCAATGGCTTAGATGGACTTTGAAATTTCATGGTTTCCTGCAATAGGTTCTATCTTTCAAATACTCAGAGGAGGTATTCTACACCCTTCCCTTGAGATATCTTCCCTTCTTTTAGACCCATAAATGTTGCTATTCTATAGTCTCTGGAGCCTCAGCCAATGATAAGGGATGATGAAAGTTGTAGTTCAGCTATATATGGAGGACCTGTCAAATTACTTGTCTCTAATTTAGACGGTGTCAACCTTTTCTCTGTGTGAATAGGCAATGCAATTACATTTAGCTGCTGATTGATTAGGATGAATGAAAAATGTTAGTGGTTTCCTGTTAAGCACACACTATAGTTGTAGATATTCATTGCCCTTCTTTGCCTATTCTCAGGATACTTTTCACACTGTTTCTATCTCTCTATCTCTCTATCTCTCTCTCTCTCTATCTATCTATCTCTGTATATCTCCCAGAAATCCAACTGAACCAAGGGATACACCCCACATCTGTTTTATAATGAATGAGTATGATCCTGTCTGGGCTTGACATTTTCCAGAGAGACTCTTCCCTATGTTTCCTAACATCTCTGGCAAGAATCAAAGAGCCTTCCCAGCAGCCTGTCTGGTCTCCTTTTGGATTAACTTGCAGCATGAGGCAGAGGGAGGGGGCTATTACTTTATTTAGACAGACTCTTGATCTGTCAACCCTCTTGGTGAGTGTTGGTGTGGTTGTATAAGAAATATACATCTAGCCTAAAATGGACAGGATGTAAATGTGCTGATTAGCTTAATTGCTTTTCTTTGAGTTTTGCTTTAAAATTAGTTTCTGTAAATGCTTAATATACTTGTTGTTAGTAATCATGGGGCAATTCCACTCTGCAGCCTAAGCTGGTTCTCTCCCATGCTACTCTTGACAGTTTTTTAACCAACTTCAGAAATTCCAGGCCAGATTGCAGTAGGTTCACAACAGGGCCAGTCTGGTGCTCAGTGTGGACTATGGCCATCACAAGACCTGATTGGTGGTTCCCCTGCTTCTTGCCCTTCCCATCCATGCAAGGAAGGCAAGCCTCATGGACTGGCTTCTGGGTGGACTAGTCTACCAGTGTCTATCTTCTTTTAGAGATTGCTCCCTTCTCATTAGTCCCCATATCTTTCCCAGATGTTTGCACACATGGAAGCCTTCATCTCTCCCCTTCTGTCCTTTTACACGAATGAAGACCCTTTCTTTTTTATTTTTTTCCTTTATGGTTCCATGTTGCTATGATGCTACATTGCAACTTAAAGATGAGGGGAGGGGAGGGGAGGGGAGGGGAAGGGAAGGGAAGGGAAGGGAAGGGAAGGGAAGGG